CAACTTTAATAAAAATAATTAAAATAATTACAACTTTACAAAAAGAGAGAAGTTGCCGATCTTGCCCCTATACCCGGGGCAACTTCGTCAATTTCTCTCTTCTTGTAAAGTTGTAATTATTTTAATTATTTTTATTTCCAAACTGATTTTAACCAGTTCTATAGTAAGGTAACATTCCAATAGACAATATGCAAAGCTTTTTTTTCAGTTTACAGCAGTATTTATTACACAAAATTTAAGTAAATCTTAACATGCCGATCTTGCCCCGGTCTCCCCTATATCCTCATAAATATACAGTTAAATTAAACGGTCTTTTACTTATTTAAATAAATAATAGACCTTAAGTTAAAATATGGCAATTTAATGTTTTAACAAACGTTTTTAGTATCAGTATATATATTTCAAAAGATTTTATATACTGTTATACATGGTTGCTCTAATTTAACTTTTTCTTATTCAGAGTACTATGTATTGGTAAACAATAAGCAAATTGGCACCAAAATTTCTATATAGTCTAGCAAGTAAGGCAAAAAATAATTTTCAAAACAAAGGTACTTCTTTTGTTAAAGAGCGCTTTACGGGAAAATACACGAAACAAAATACAGTAAATATCGAAGACAAACTTTTAAGCGACATCTTAATCTGTCATTTTAAATATTAGGAATAAAGTCAGCTGTTTATCGCCTGAATTTTACACCTGAAAAATTAAGCGAACATGTACCATTACATCAGTAAATGGCTTCTGCAGAAGGCATATTTTTAGCAGAACAAATAAATTCATTTTAGTTGTGTTTTTCTCGTGTATTTTCCCGTACAGCGTCTTCTAACAGGAGTTTTTGAACTAAAATTTTTTTTTACAAAATATGTTTCCATGTCCTTTGTATTGTCTGAATACAAATTTTGGTGTCAACTCGCACATTGGTTACAGCTACAAAGAGCTTTGAATAAAAAATCTTTATGACTATCCTCTATATACATCTAATATTTGCTGATTCATGGTATATGAGGAATAATTTTAATAATTAATAACCTTTTTACTTCTGCGGTCTATCCATGAGAGCATTGTCGGAAATTCAAATCTGATTTATAGGCAAAGTTTGGTGCCTCGAACTCCTTTGCCTCGAAGGTCTTAAACTGATTCTTAATAGTTTTTTAAAATAGTAGAAAAATATATTGAAGAATACAAATTCACAATTTGTCGTTTTACAATCACCATTGACAAACTAAATAATACAGATTATCCGTTGACAATGTTTTAACGAACTACTTATTTTAGTTTATGGTATCGGTGTCAGATCTTTTTAGCCAATTTCCTTTTTTTTACAGAGGCTAACCTCAAATAAAAGGTCGTCTCTGTGAGTGAAGATTTGTGTTTATTTATTTATTTATTTATTTATTTTTGTCAATGGTTACTTTGAAACAACAAATTGTGAATACCAAATTTTTAAAATTTTCAATATATATATATTTTTTTATCATACAAATTACCGTGGGCTATTTTTAATAGAATTCTTTTAATGCATTTTTAATTTGTCGAAGAAAATTCTCTGAGCAGATGAATGTTATTTCCAGTTACTTCATAAATTGAAGAAAAACTCTTGGTTTAAAGCAAAATTTTCTTTCTTCTGTATTATGTTAACCGAATACAAAATAGCAGATAGCTTATCTCCTGTTTAAATCGAGAATTTTCTTGCTTTTCTCAACAATTATTTTCTCTTTCTGGTTGCAACCTCGACTGCTCCTCATCACTTTCGTAAACATTCCTTTCAACTGACTTCCTCTGTCTTCTTCTACTTTTAAGACTCAGCTGAGTAGATTCTTCTGCATCTCATTTGTGAGTCTATAGTTTTTCATCTAGAAAAGTTTCCTCAAGATTCTAAACTCTGATAACGTCTGGTATTTTAAGTCTAATCTAATATAATTAATCTTAATACACTTTAGTGATTAGTGACTAGTGACTTACTCTACTGAGTATTATTTGAATAAACAACCTCTAGAATAGGCATTTTATCCTATAATAAATCATTATTTCAATACTATATTTTATCAGACATCTTTGTTGATGACAATCTTGGGAGAAATTCCTATTTGTTCTGGAAAAGTAATAGTAAATGGAAAAATCGCTTATGCCTCCCAAGAAGCCTGGTTATTCAACGGTACTATCAGGGAAAATATATTGTTTGGCGGCGAATATCGAGAAGATAAATATAATGAAGTTTTATATATAACAGCACTCGAAAAGGTAAGACTTGTATATAATGTTATTAGTAATAATTCGTTTGAAATTTTCATACTACTGCATGATACATCGCTAAAAACAGGTCAAAAAGTGAATCTGCTAGTTCTTTTGAGTTTTTATAATAGAGTAAAGCGTCGATTATCCGAAACGTCAATTATCCGAAAGAATTGCAGTCGGCAAATTTAAATTTTGCCAGTGCTGTGGTGCTGCAATCTTTGGCTATGTCTTTGGCTACTCAAATATTTTACGTTTTTGATACTAAATTAACTTCTGAAGTATACTTTTTATTGTTTTTATATTTTTCAATATATTTATTTTGTTTGTACAAAATAAAAAAATAATTTTGAACGATACAATAGTCTTCGTTAGGCTTAACATCGACGAAAATTCAACGCGAAGCGACACGCAACAGAGAAAAATTTCAACATAGGATAAATTAATATATTTTTTCGTACATAATCGGTTATCCGAAATATCGATTTTCCGAACAACCCCAGTCCCCAATTGATTCGGATAATCGACGCTCTATAAAACATTTGTGCCTTCTTTCCAAGGTTCATCATGGGTGCAGCCAGGCCCACAATGAGGAAGGACGGGTTCACACACATTTGTTTTGTAAACGCAACTGACTCTTTGATTTATGAAACACCGTCGATATAAATTTTAATTTTGATATTTTAAAATTTTCTAGATAAAAATTTCTGATCAAATTATTATTTACGTTAAGTTTCTAAAGGTTAATTTTCTGTTTTATTTTCGTTAAATACGCTAAATTGCCACTAAAATCCGTGCACTCGTCTATTTCAATTTACGAGAGACAGTCACGTAAAAACCTTTAAAATGTACAAAAAAGTTTGAAACATTTAATTTCTTGTACTTTGTCTACTGTCGATAAATATACAATATTTGTGGGTTGAAAAAAATGACTTTTTTATGTTTATTTTTTGGAATTTGAACAGATAATCTATCATGAACATATTGTCTGATTGCCCTGTACGTTGGCAACTGTGATACTCATGATTTGAAGTGTGGCCGACAGATGGCAATTTTTCGAGGGCCTGATGGCCGAACGGCTATCGCTCGGTTAAATCCAGAAATTTTGTGGGTTGGTCCATCCTGGATATATCAGCTGCCCCATTGTAGTCTTGCCGAATATGTATTTAGCTCGATAAAATAAAAATATGGTCTTTCTTTTGCTACAGAGCAGAAAGAGTGACAACAAAGTAAGTTCTAGGAATTTTTACATAACATTTGCAGATGGTTCACAAACACTAGTTGCAGAACACTTGTGGATTGTTCACGAAACACCAGTGTATCATGGAACAAGCGATTGGGAATCATTGGGCTAACAATTCAAAATTTTCAAACACTTACCATTAAATTCTACATGTTTTGCTTATAGAACTTATACAATAGCATATTTCATAAATATTATTCATGTTTCAGTTAATAATTTCTCGCAATTTTTCGACATCTTTTTAAACACGAATTCAACTGATTCTTTGCATGCCTGAAATCTTTATCTTTTCTGATACGGTCTGATAATTTACAATAATTTCAAAATTTTGAGAGTTGTAAGCAATTAATTAATCTAAAATTTCATTTTTCGAACGAAGATAACATTTTGATTACATAATTTATTTTAGGATATTAGTTTATTTCCTAAAGGAGATCTGACACGCGTAGGAGAAAGAGGGACCACAATGAGTGGTGGCCAAAAAGCTCGAATTAATCTAGCAAGGTAAGTCAAAATATTAGTCCAGATAGTTTGTATCTGTTATCTTTGAGAATTTAAATATTTGTAAATTTTCATGTAAATTTTTACTCAATTTTAGGGCATTGTATCGGGATGCCGACATATTTATTCTAGACGATCCGTTAAGTGCTGTTGACACGCCGGTAGCAAAACACATATTCGAAAAGTAAATTAAACTTATAGTAAATATTTTTTTTATATGAGAATTTATCTACGTCTAATTATTTAACAGGTGTATAATGAAATATTTATCAAATAAAATATGTATTCTTGTTACGCACCAAATTCATTTCTTACAATACGCAACCAAAATTTTAGTATTAAAACAGGTGAGTAAATGTTTTGTTTAAATTCCTTGAAATATGTTCGTTCTCAAATGTTTATATTTGTTTTTTATACCTAATAAAATTGAATGTTAAAAATACTACTTTTAATTTAATATTAGATAAAATCTTTAATTACTTTTCTCAAACTTTCTCTTCTCTGATACTGTAAAGTAAAGCAGAAAACTAATAGTGCCGAGCTTGTGTTTTGTGTAAATAGTGTACACTTTTACATCAAATTAACGTCATTATTATAGTTTAACGTAAGAAAATTGAAAAATTGACGTCAAACTGACGTACAGTACAGTAATTGTATGCACTATTCGGACAAAACTAATGCACCTTAAATTTTTTGCAACGTGCAAAATTTACAGTTGAAAGAATAACACTGTCATGTTCTCTAATACAGATGAAAACAGTAATTATACTTCTCTGTAAACGGCTATTCAGCAATTATTCTTGAAACTAATGTAAATAACAGGCAGTAAAGGAAAATTATTTCATAAATACGTGTATATGTATATTATTAAATACTTCACTTGGAGTATTAGTCAGGCTAATACAGCATGCGATTTCTACTACTATGCATTATAAGTAAATTATTGCATGATTAAATGGAGATTCGAAAGGCAAAATTTTATACGAATAACTCTAAACAAAATTTTCTTTTGAGTCCGTAACGTATCATAATAAAAGTAAGAACTTTACAATTTTAAAGATTTATTAACAGTGCTTTTTGATTTGAATAATTTTAGGCATTAAAACGATAAAAATTTCATAATACACCGTAGGATTTACGCAAGCTTCTTCAATTTTGATGTTGATCTAGTCTATTTCATCTCTTCTATGTTTCTATGTTTATTTTTCCAGATTATTTCAAATTAATTTTGATTTCAATCCCCTATTCATGCCACATCAGATGAACTGTAAAATAAGACGTGAACAGTTGAGATTTTTATTTTCCTTTCCATAAAATTGTGTATGATCAAACACAGGATTTGCACATCAATCTTATATTCTATGAAAATAAATTTTTGTTATTAGTTTTATATTTCTTGTTAATTCTCATTTTAGGGAAACTGTGCAGCGTTGGGCGACTACAACAAAATCATGAACTCGGAAATCAACTTGGGAATTTCGGCAAACGATGAAAAATATACTCAAAAAGAGATGGCTGAAGAAGAATTACTTAATACAAAAGATGTAGATATTTTTCATAGCGTTGAAATTGAAAACACCGCCAATCACGTGGTACGTTGTCAAAATGTGTACTCGTGTTTATTCACACGTATTTTTGAAAATTATCTCTTGTTGTAGAATTTACACATTTCATTTATTTTAAAAAAGCATCAGTTATATCAAAGACATTCGTCCTACTTATTCAATAGCACGTACTCGATAATTCACTATTAAACTACATAATACAAATAGATAAAACTATGTTCAACGAATCTCGAATACTGTGTAGTAAAAATAACAGAGACTGAACAAACTGCTGACTTTCTTGAGCTAATTTACTACTAAATATGGAACCATTGTCTGATTATAATAAATCTTTAATTAATGTAGATATAAAACAAGTCTGTTCATAATAAAAATTCTAATTGATAAGCATTGTCCTTGGTGAATCGGTACATCTACAACAGATAATTATATATTCGTATATGGCTGATGAAGGTCTTTTAAACCGAAACGCATACCAAAATATTATAAAATTGTATTCTGGTGATAGAAGTGCCATTTCTATGTCCTGAGTTGCAGTATGATAATTCTCTGTTATCTCTACTACACAATGTTTAAGATTCATTCATTAACAATCATTCAGACAAGAAGCTTTTATATACTACAATTTACTAATAGTGTCATAGTTCTACTGAAACAATTGCATACATAACAGTCAAAATAGTCAGTCAATATCTTTATTATATACATTAGTTTGTACATGCCCGGCTTCGGATGGCACTATCGGGAATGAAAACCAGATACAGTAATTGTTAACTTGTTTACAATACAGGAATTACGGAGATGTGAAAAGGTGGGTTGGAATAGTATACAAGAGTTAACACAATGATGATGCAGGTATTACAATGATGTTGCAGTTAAATACAATGATGATATAGTTAATTACTATTTGTTTACAGTATAAGGTACTGTACATACAGAATTACAACGTGATGGATTTTGAAAGCTTTACAAGTACAGACACTATGCAATATTACAAGTGTTAATACAAAATAAAACATGAAGATGTGTATAAGTGCAGAAGGAAAAAGCACATAAATTACATAAAACTGAGTACAATACAGCAAATTAAGTAATGATACAATATAAGAGAGTGTAAAATACAATTTGAGTATAGAATACAATACATAAGAGAAGTAACTTAATCCAGGTATGGCAGTGGTGCTCGTTGATATTAGGTGTCAATTGCATACTTAACAGCATGCAATGTGTTCTGTGAACTTTTCATTATCGTTTGTATATCTTCAAAGTATCCGGAATATACGGAAATTTTGGTTATTTACCGCTAACAATACAAAATATTAACATTAGAGATGCACAGTTATTATACACCTAGAAGCCTTATATTGTTAACTAAGTTATGACTATTGATTGCTATGAATTTACTCAACTCTGTCGAAAAATTTATTACTTTTATTGTTTATTTTTCTCTAAATTATTCAGAAAAATTGTAACTCCATTTTAAAACATAATAAAATTTAATATATTTGTTTCTTTCATTAAAATAGAAAGAAAATGTTAAAGCAACAAAAGAAAATGAAGAAAAGTCATTTAAATCGTTGGGAATATCTGTGTACAAAGCATACGTTGATGCCGGAGCTAATTCCTTCTTCAAAATTATAATATTGTTTTTCTTAATTGTATCTCAAGCTGTTACGAATGGTGGCGATATATGGCTCTTAAAATGGTATCAAATATTTTATAAAGTAGAAACACTTATTTTAAAGAATAAATTTAAATTTACAATGTACTCAGGGCATTAACACGAGAAAAACTTAATGCTTTAAAGTGTTAGCAATGTTCTAAAGCATATCACGCAACTCAGTGTGACGAATTAATGTATTATAGATATATTGTTTGGTGTTATATGTAAATCTTATAATTTGGCAAACACTATTTCAAATTTATAGAAGTAATTATTTCTTTGTATTTTTTAGGATTAAAGATGAAACGGCGTTTATTGATACAAAAAATATAGAAAACTTTACACTAGCAGTAAACAACAGCAACGAAACCGGGGGTGAAGATTTTCTTCATAGACGTGAAATTAACGTTTATGTTTATGTTGGACTGATATTCGGATTGTTAGTCGTGACTTTTATTTCCGTGTCAGTATTCTACGAAATGTCCATGGCGGCATCCATTAATCTTCACAAAAATATGTTTCGTTGCATTATTCGCACTCCAATAACTTTCTTGGATATGAATCCAATAGGTGAGATATGATCATTATTATATTAGAAATAAACGTGTGCCAATTGCGTGTCAAACGTGATAACATCTAAATCAGGGTCAGTTTTCCATAAAAGTTTTTTCCCTTGGCAGAAGACCCACATCTTTCGTTGCCTTAACCCAAGGGTGGCCAACAGTTTTTGCCCCCGGGCCGAACTGGAAAGAAAACTTTTTTCACGGTCCGAACCAGAGGCTGCTCTAGGAAGATTTTGAGGTGGTGCGAGATCTCATTGTGGTGTCACCCCGTAGCGACTAAATTGTAAATAGAGATTACAGATACATTTTTCACATTATCATGCTTTATCAACATTCTACGTTGTACTTAAGAAATTTGTAATGGAGCGTTAAGCGTTAACTCTAACCGCACACTTAGTTGTTGACCTTTATTTTTTTATTTTTTTCTTTTAGGCGTCAGAATTTTTCATCGAGCTATTCGGACTTGAGTAGCTGATATTGAAAGATTAATCGAGGACCGCATAAATTCATTAGACGGCCGTATGTTGACCATGCCTGCCTTAACCCATCAAACAATTTTGTACGAATTATTTGAAAACAGAAAAAGAATCTATATATATAGTCTAGATGGGTTGATAATAATAATTATTATTATTATCTATATGTTTGATATTATAATCATATTGCGTGTTGTTTAACATGTTAGATAATAATAACACGCAATATGGTTATAATATCAGACATGAAAAAACAACACTGTCACATCTCATGTACATGGACGACATAAAACTTTTATGCATTTACACAAAAACAACTTCATCAACTCCTACAAATCACACATCTATACACCAAGGACACACAAATGGAGTTGTCTTAGACAAATGCAAAACACTTCACATAGAAAAAGGAATCCTGAAGAAAGAAGATTTTGCACTTGAAAGTGGAGATGTTATTGAATCCATGAAAGAGGGCAAGTTCTACAAGTATTTTGGATTTCATCAAGACAAACAAAACATACACAAATAACACAAAGATTAATTAAAGGATACCAAAGTAGGTTAAACGCTATTCTCAGAACACAGTTAAATGAAAAACACACAGTTAAAACAATAAACATATATGTCGTCCCAGTACTCACTTATTATTTTGGAGACATTGGACCCACGCAAATCTCGAGCAACTCCGACGGAAAACAAGAACAAATCCGCCATAGAAATATTAACCTTTCTACATAAAGATGGCGGACGTGGCCTGATTGACAGCTAACAGATAGCTAACCTTCACTACAAACAAATACAGACACTGCGAGAGTTTTTCTACAAAAAACAAGAAACATCACAGTTACACAGTTATATAAAGCAGTAACCATAGTAGACTCAAATAACACACCATTACATTTACACTCACAACATATGAACACGATACAACATATAAATAACATAGACACCATTAAGCAGTAGTGGGTTCAAAAGGCACTCCATGGCAAGCATATGGCAGGCATCGCTATGAACTGGCCCAGGATTTTGTTGGCAAAACTGCGTCAAACAGCTGGTTTGCTCGGGGATGTCTTTTTGGGGAGACGGAAGGATTCATGATTCTCATCAGGTCATAAATACTAAAAACTACAGAAAATACATACTCAAAGATAGAACACTCACAAATGACACATGCAGAAAATGTCACATTATGCCAGAAACTATACAACACATCACTTCTGGCTGCAAGCTCTTGGCACAGACAGATTATTTACATAGGCATAATCAAGTAGCAAACATAATACACCAAGAGCTTGCAAATAAACACAAATTATTAAACATCCACGAACCATACTACAAATACATTCCACAGACACTATTGGAAAACAACACGCACAAAATGTACTACGACAGAACCATAATCACAGATTAAACAATTTACCACAACAGATCAGACATCATGTTCATTGAAAAACACAATAAAATCACTTACGTTACAGACATAGCCATTTCAAACACTCACAATATACAAAACACATGCACTGAAAAAATCAGTAAGTACACAGAAACTACCCAGGAAATAAGGCATCTGTGGAAGACGGATAGGGTGTTTTTTGTACCTGTCATTTTCTCCTCTACAGGTGTTATACCATACGCACTACACAAAAGCCTGGGCACATTACAACTGGGCACAGACACACACACTAACACACTTATTTGAGTTTTGTCTATGTCTTGACTCTGGTCCGGCATAGTACACAGCTACCGGTATCAACAGAGTATAACTCACTAGATCTATAATAATAATAAGCGCAGAGTCAAAACTATTAGAAGTTGAACGTTGAAATTTGGTACACAGTTAGGGTACGTCATGAGAATGTACACAAAGAAAGGATATTTGTAAATTTCCCCCACAGAAGAGGAGGAGAAGTATTACCATGAAGAACAGGGCTTCTACTGTACTATTTTAGATGGTTTTGCGTTTTGCGAGAAATCGAACATATTTTTAGACCCATCTAAAAATTTTCTAATTAATTTCAAAAGAGGGGGAAACCAATTCTTGCACCCGCAGAAAACGGGTAAAATCGACTATAATAACTATAATATTATTATAATATAGACTATTAATCTTTTGCTATCGTTATTTTTTGCCCGAGCAACAAGGGTTCATCTGCTAGTAATTAATTAATATAATTTTATATATTATTTGATGATTATTTTGTCGTATTCTGATACGTTTGAAATTTCATTCTTTCAGGAAAGATAATAAATCGGTTTTCGAAGGATATGATGAGTGTCGACGAAGTGTTATCATACTTGTTTCAGCATGTAATAAGGGTAAGTTATAAATTTTTTAAATGATAAATAAATATAAAAGTTGTAATGTCATTAACAAATTTTCTTATATGAATACTAGTTATAAATATACTAATAAAATACGGAGATAATGAAGAGAGCACGTCCTAGTTAACGTTTTTATGTTTTTTATGATATTTAAAGCTGTTACTTTGTCCTAAACATGGTCTATCCAATACACAGAAAACGTTTGATTTTGAATAAAACATCGTTGCTTGTGGGGTGATTGATTATTGTAGCTTTAAACTGATAGAAAAGCTAACGATAATGTTATAAAGCTATATTAGCCTCATACTGACATGAAATTCTTGTATACAAAAAGTCTGCTTGTACGTAAACATTTAAGAGTTCATTGGGGTGAAGAACCCCACAGTATTTATTCAAGGGAGTCATAGAATATTCGTGCCAAATTTGGTGAGAATACGACAAACGGTATTGAAGCCTTTACCTTACATACGTACAAATATACAGGGTGGAAAAAGTCACTTAACACCCCTGCTACAGAATATAGAATGTACCCAAAGAATGTATGGTACAGTACTTTATTTAACAACGTATGTAGGAAATTTTATAATTGAATTTATAGGTTTTAATGTTTTTAGATAGCACGAAAAATGCATCCTATGCAAAATAAAATGCTATTTATTTATTTGTTTATTTGAAATTAAGATGGATATACATTTTATGTAATCTTTGGCATTTTTTGCATAAACATTTCAGATGATCGCTCTTCTTCTTGGAATATTCGTTGTTGAAGCAATCATTAATCTTTATCTGCTGATATTTACTGTTATTCTAACGATTGTATTTTATTTCCTATGGACGTTCCACACTCGAGCGTTAAAAAGCATAAAATATTTGGAAGGAAAAGGTAAATATTTTTGAAAAATAAATTAAATAATTAAATCAATTTAATTCTTATACAGAATATTCTGTAATTAATTATGTTTTTTTTTTATTTCCTTTACTATTAATTTGAAATTTCTATGTTGTACTCTTTATAAAATTTTTAATGGTGTAAAATGTTTATCTCGAATATAATTTATTATATTTTCATTTTAATTATTCTGTAACATGGATATTATCTAACTTTTAACATTATTAGAAGGCCGAGTGAATAAAACAACTGAACACCAGTAGTTTGTCGCGGGTTCGCACCTGACTAGCCAAGTGTTTTAAGGGTTTTATTCACATACGTAACACTTAAATAGGTGGGCCGTTTCCTACGAAAGCCCTGCGATCATCTCTCCTTGGCAGATCTCCCCAAGTGTTGAATTGCCTTATTCGATCAGTCATCAAAAATTTTAAAATTTTCCTGATTTTAATCAGACTGTGGTTAAAGATATTATCTTTAGATAAAAAAAAGGTATTTTTAAGCTATTTTTTATCCTCTTAGTCTCAATATGCAACTGGGGAGGTTTGGCTTGTAATCAATAACAGACTGATAATATTAATTTTTACCTTTTTGGCTATTATATAACGGAGGGAAAGTATGTCGATTCAATTGTTACATTTTTAGACCAGGATGATCTCGAAACGTCCAGAAATGCAAATAAAATCAGGAGTTTTTTCTGTATGTATGATTATTAGTGGGTATATAGGGGATGCACGATTTTTTTCCACTCACTTTGAAGCTTAGTAACTTTGGTGCCTTATATCAAACGTTTTTGAAATTTTGCACAGATGTTTACGCTGTAAAGAGAAATGTTTCTAGAAATTTTCAAGAAAATCGAACCATTTTTTCGGGAAATATGGTTCATCCTCTTAATATTTTCCGCACCAATCTGAAGACTTATAAATGTAATGGTAACAATTATTAGGGATGAAAACAAATAAAAAATGTCAGAAAAGTCCAGCGACATAGTTGCTAGCTTTTTAATTATTAAAACTACAATAATTTATCAATTTATTGCTGTTATTCAAACGAATTTAAATTGATAGAAAACTAAAAATAAATTATTTTTTCAGCAAGAAGTCCCGTATTTTCTCATCTTAGCGCAACACTTTACGGATTGACCACCATCAGAGCTTTCAAAGTAGAAAACAATTTCAAAATTGCATTTAATGAGTTTCAAGATAAACATACAGCTACGTGGTTTCTTTACGTAGCATTAAATAGTTGGATTTCAATATATGGTGAATTAATTTGTTTTATAAATCTTCTAATTATTATCGTTATGTTGGACGTGATGAAACCCACAGGTAAATATATATTTATGATTCTTATGCCCCATATATTAATGTTTACTTCTTATGATATTTTCTGTTATACAGAAAATGCAGGAAGCAAAGTTGGACTGGCATTAAATTATGGAATATTGATGTTTTTATATTATCCGTGGCTTGTTAGACAAACGTCTGAGATCGATTACCAAGTAGGTGTTAGTTTAACACTTCTCGATTAGTTTTTAAATACCGTTTCAAATACATTAACAATTTTTAAATAAATTCAATTGGGTTGGATTGGTGGGTTAATACAATAAAACAACGGGCGATCCGCTAATGCTCTTCCTGTTAAAAAGATTTTCTAACGGATGGTCTGAAGTCGCGACTTGAGAGAATCCATCGAAGTCGAATGAGGGCTTGGTTCCAATCAGACAATGGCGAGCCCTCATTATAGCTGGTAGGCAGTTAAACCGACAATTACGTCAAATAAAAGACGAGCTCGTGCTGGACACGTGGTAATCCAAGAGTGACGCTATCAACAAAATCGCCGATCACAGCTGCAGATCCACCATAGTGAACTGCTTACCCAATAGCGTCTCTATCTCCCGCTGAACAATCATTGACGGGAATGGAACATGGGTTGCCCCTCTCGGGAGCTGCATCCACACCAAATGGGATCTTCTCACTAGGTCACCAATCTAATAAAGAATGTTCCGATTCACCGCCCAATATTGGGCCGTGTGGTCCCTATTTAGTGCTTAAGAGTTTGGCTTAACGCCAAACTCTTAAGCACTAAAATTCGCATGTAGATAGGATGAATTTGTTTGTTTGTGTCATTAATGCATCGTTCATTTTTTCGACTATGTTACATACAGCAGAGGGAAGGTATGGCGATCGGTCAAAATATGACCCCTCCCAAATCAAAAACTCGCCCTTTTACATTTTTAGACTCAAGGCACTTTAAAGCGTCAAGTAATGCAAAACATTTCGGGGGTTTTCTCTGTATATATAGATATTAGTTTGTATGTAGGTGGCACGATTTTGTTAACCCTAACTGAAGCTAAATAATTCCTCTGCTTTTTGTCGAAAATTTCTGAAATTTTGCAGGGAGGTTTGAGTATTAGGGGGATTGGTGCTATTAAATTTTGGTGGTTAAAGGTAGACGGGGTGAGGAGATAAAGGGGGTTGTATATCGTATTTCGAGTAGAGTCGGACTTGATGACGATTTTACTCGTTATTAACATTTACAATTTTATTATAAAACCCATCCCTACCCTCAAAATTTAACTTTTCGCCATTTGATAATAATTAAAAATATAAAAATTTGTAAATAATAAAATATCATAACAGATGGCAAACGCACACGCAGTTTTAAATGTTGTCAGAAAAGTTGCAACTCGATGGTAGTTTTTTTTTGTATTTAATTGTATACATTTATGTGAAGATATTTAATCCAACGGAAAAGAAATTAGTTTTTATATAATTATATAATGTAGAATTTATGTTTATTAGACGTATTTTATTTGCAACTATTAATAGTATTAAGTATAGTCGACCCCCTATAACACTGTTGATTTTTCCGTTTTATATGAATTCCATGTTGTACGAGTCACTTAGATTTTACAAATACGTGAGCTGTTCACAGCCCGGCACACGTATTTGTAAAATCTAAGTGACTCGTACAACATGGAATTCATATAAAACGGAAAAATCAACAGTGTTATATGGGGGTCGACTGATTAAATAAATTTTATCATTCGTGTCTATTAATTCTTAAATCGTTCTTGCAGATGAATTCTGTTTCACGTATACTGAATTACAGCAAGCTAAACTCAGAAGCGGCATACGAGTCTTCTCCTGATAAACAGCCACCCCTCGAATGGCCCAAGAGAGGAGAAATTAAATACGACAACGTTTCCTTACAATATTCAAAGGATAAACCAGCAGTTTTAAAAGAATTAACATTTCACATTAATCCAGGGGAAAAAGTAAGATGTTTAAGTATCTTCGTACACTATTTCAGTCACGTTTTACTTTATTACCATTGTAGATAGGAATTGTTGGACGAACAGGAGCAGGAAAGAGTTCTCTAATAGCGGCTTTATTCCGTTTGATAGAACCAACAGGTAAAATTACAATCGATGGAATTAATACTAAAGACATCGGTCTTCGAGATCTGCGCAGCAAAATGTCAATAATTCCACAAGTAAATATTAATATTTTGTATTGGTTTAATTCTGCAGTTAATAATTTTCTTCGTTTTTAAGTTTTTTTTTCAATTGTTTCTTGTTGTGTTTTTTTGTGTTTCGGTTGTATACCATTAATGCATTTTCCTAGTATAAACTTTGCGTACAATAGAAAATTCGCAAATTTGCGAAGGGTGTTTCACTTGCAAATGCCCCCATTCTACATGAAGTTTTGCCTTTACATACTTGTAAAGACATAGTTGTACAAGTGAAGCAAGTTTGCCAATACTCCCCTCGTACATAAAATTGTTGAGTTTTTGTAGCCTCGCATATTTTGTTTTTTATGATGAAATGTTTAAAATTTGGACTATTATTTTGACCAAGTCCAATTTTTTCTACGAAATTACTAAACTATCACCTCGACTATATGTAATAATTATTTCAGTTCATTTGTGTACAGTATATGATTACACATTATACAATAAAAACTATTACATTTATTAAGCAGCAATTTGAAAAATTGTAAACCTATAAATTTCCACTGTTCTCCGTCTGACTGTCTGTCCTACCTTAATCTCAAGAATGGAGTTAGATATATAGCCTATGAAACGAGACTATAAGTGGAAAAAGTATTTGCAAATGATACCGATTAACTATTAATGAACTTCTGGTATTAACCAAAAGTTATGTTATTCTAATTGAAATTTTTCCTCTAAAAGGAGTTAAATAGATGACCGTTACTTCTCTACTGCTAACGGAAAAACTATTATGTACAGGGGCAAGCCACTATTAATTTGAGATGGAGAGCATATTTGTCACATCGCTTGTTTAAAATTATAATTAACAATTTGATCATATACATGAAAATACATTAAGTTTTTAATATTATATTAAAAACATAAATGATTGTGATAAATCTAATGTCGAATATGTTTTTTACTTTAGGATCCGGTATTATTTACCGGTCCTCTGCGCAGAAACATCGATCCTTTTAATGAATACTCAGAAGAAATCTTGTGGCAAGTAATAGAAGAGGTTAGTTTTAAAAAAAAAGAATTTAAATTTATTATGTAATTTATAGTTTATTGTAACTATAATTTTTAATATGAAACTGAAAATCTCATATATGCGATAAAATATTTAAAGGTACAATTAAAACAAGTGGTTGGAAAATTACCTGGAGGACTGGATACAATTTTGATGGAAGGAGGGCGTAATTTTAGCGTTGGTCAAAGACAATTGATATGTCTAGCCAGGGCAGTTCTTCGTCAAAACAATATTCTTGTATTGGATGAAGCAACATCGAACATGGATAAAATGTAAGATAGAATTTTTAATTTTCTAATTTAGTCGCAATTTCACATTATGATGTTTCATAATAAAATCAACTAATTGGTTTCATTTTTTGATAAAAATTTTTAAAATTTACAGTAATTCGTTCAGTATTTACTTGAAATATATATTTTGCCATATTTTTTTTTATATAAATGAATAAATAAACTAAAATAAAATAATTTGATGTTGTTTATCTGTATGTTTATTAGTCAGAATTTCAATATTAAACAAAGCCTAAACGTTTATTAAATCGTTATCTGGAATTGAAATTATTGTTACTTTGCAAAGGTTTCTGATGCTTAGAGAAAATATTTAGCCTTGGAAAAAAGATATGTTTGTGCTGTGTAATTTCTATTGTTTATAGATAAAAGTATACTAATGTATTGATAGGGTAAGTGCATTGGATGGACAAGATTTCGAAGGGAAACAGGTCCTTACATAAGTGTTAGATACATGAAGAAAGCCCGGAAAGCTCCATAAGGTCAGCCCGTTGGTTATACGTGAACCCACTAACAGAGTTTTCTGTGGTTTTATCCACTAGTGGGCAAAATTTAGAAGATAGTAAAAAAAGCAAGCAAAACTTACCACATTTATGTGATAAGTTTTGCTTGCTTTATAGACTATACGAAAGACATTCTAAGATTTGCTGAAAGGGACAGGAGGAATAAGCAAAGATAGCGAAGGAAATTAATCGATTTTATGTTTTTACCTAAAGAAGATTTGCTCGGAGTAAAGAAAATAATATCAATTGAAAAAATGCATTAATGCACATTAGTGTAATGGATAAATCTGGGTCACTGATTTGTAAAACTTTTACATAATTTTGCACAGGCATATCCTCTAATAAAAGATCGTCTCTGCGAACGAAAATTGTTTTGTTCCTGGTGATTGGACATAGTGGAAATAAAAGGAATTTAGTTTCTTGTATATTTTACTATTTTGCGAATTTGCCGTCCGCTATTTTAATTGAAATTAAAAGTTAAAATCAAAGTTGAAGGAGTTAATTACAGTCGTATTTAATTAAAAATAACATATTAATTCTAATCGAAATGATTTGGAAAGAGAATGTATACAGACTAGTATTAGGTGAATTTTTGCCCTTTTCATAAATAAAACAGCACAAAATCAGTGTAACAGGGGAAACACATTAATGTAACAATTTAACACTACGTATGACACAGTACGAAGTACTAATTAAACTTGTTCTTTTCACAAATTCACATTGATAAACATGTTTATCAATATGGAATTTGAAAAGAACAAGTTCATTCATACATCGAAAAGAATTTTGAAAAAAATGTAAATACAAAGAATAAGTACCAAATATACATTCACACTTGCATAAAGCATATGACAGTTTGCATTCCCTGTACAATATTATAGCCGAATTTGCTTTCTCTTCAAAATTAAAACCTCTCTTTGGAATTTGTTTGAATAATATAAGATATACATGTAAACTAGTAACATTATTTTTGTGAGCCTGAGGGCCTATCTACGGGTCTAAAAGGAGAAATGAGCGAATTTCGCGCAAAATTATGACTTTGAAACTTAATTTCTTAACGCGATTGTTATAAAAAAAAAACATCGTCTAGAACGGATCAGATGACGTTTTCTCTAAACAAACGGAGAGGAATTTTGACAACAAGATGGAAAAAGATTCGAATGTGAAAGAGTGACAGCTGCTATTAAACGTCATCGGAAGAAACCTGTGCCCGCACCTGGAAATGAGCCTTCGACATGTCAATAGTCGATCACATGATCATTTTCCCAGACATCAGGCATAAAAGGTGGAAACACCGAAGTCCCGGGAGGTCGTCTCATACAAAGAAAGGTGAATAGATTGATTAGTGCCTGGATTAATCTACGACTAGGTGCCAAGTTCAGCGGACCTCCACAAACGGACTGTCTCGGCCCATGGTATGTCAACGATATGAAGACCCGCCATACAATCGCCAGTCCTCTTCGAATTCCTCTCTCTCCGATCGAACGAACGTCATCTAATCTGACCAACCAAGATTGAGGTATCTATAGATTATTGTAAACTCTCTCTCAGTGGAAGTAGCGATAGAGTTAGGTCATTAGGTCAACATGCGAGCTGATTAGAAACTTTTCGTCAATCCCCTCCATAGGAGTGTATATGTAACCTCATTTAACCGCATCTAATTTAGGCTTAGTTTTATGTATCATAGGTTTTGTTATAGAATAAATTCTTGTCTGTTAAAAACCTGTCTCCTGTCACTCCAAAACACGGACACCTGTCGACTTTCCCAACCCCCTCGCCACTCGAAAAAAGCCATCCCAAAGACAAAGTGGGCAAGTTTTACCAACTCGACGATTAGATAGCTCCGTACCCTCGCCCGGTTTCTCACATTTTCATAAACGTTTAAGGTACAAACCGTTGTATGTAACCGTTGTATGCGTTGTATGTAAGGTATTTGAGGTCCATTATCATTAACATTGTATGATGTGATCCATTTTTCACCGACTTAATATATGGTTATTAAACCTAGGAAGAACGAAAACATTTGTAAACAGTATAGTATGAAGCGCAGTGTTTCGAACAAAAAACGATTAATGGAGACAACGAGTTAAGAGAGATATCATTAATCTAAACAAATATCGTTCAGGAACTTCACAATCCTATCATTTTTATGTCCTTAATTGTAGTGGATACGTTGAAATTTAGCAATACCAGAATTAAATATATTAAAACTTTCATAAATTACTTTTTTGAAGCATTTCTTAGATAGCTTTTATTTTCTCTATATCAAAAGTTGTTAAAATATAAACACAAAAATAATAAATAAAAAATTTAATTTATTAAGAAAACAATTCAAGAAAACGATTCATTTGTTGATGCTGGTGAGATAAGTAAAAGTTACATGTTCAAAAGTATAGTTAATAAAATATAATATCATTATGAAGTTATTGTGCAGTACTTTATTATGTATAAAGTGTAAATTATATAAAATATGAATTATATTTAATATTTCAAGTCTGATGCAATTACGACAAAACGCAATATTTACAACATGTCGCATATGTAATAACTTATCGTGTTTCATGATAAGTTAACAGTTATGAATTATTCAAAACTGCTATAATATATCCCTTATTCTGCTATAATTACAAAAAAGTCATCAAAAATTCTATAATGCTTTTCACAACACTTCACTTTGTAACGCTTACTTGAATATCCATTCACCTACATTACGTAATTCATGAAGTCTATAAACTCTAAAACTTCGATGGAAATATCAGTTTATATAATAACAATATCGTAGAAATTAAGACGTCTGAATGTCTGTCATTACATTATATAGAAATTTATATAATGCAAACATATGTAAATTTACATTAACTGGAAAATTGATTATATAATTAGTTCATTTGCAATAATTGTGGCACGTTTTCTTTATTCACATTCTTAAATTATAAATATTTTTATTTTCAGCACGGATTCTTTAATACAGAAAATCATTCGGGAAAAATTCAAATTGTGTACAGTATTGACAATAGCTCATCGACTGAACACCATTATTGATTCAGATAGAGTGCTGGTAAGATATTTTGTAGATAATATATATATATAATGATGATATCATACTTCATTATAATAGTACATTTTAATTTGACAGGTTTTAGATGCTGGAGAAATTCAAGAATTTGACAAGCCGCATGTACTGCTGAATAACGTCAGGGGTATTTTCTATAACCTGGTTATGAAAACGGGACGAACATCAATGAAACAACTTTGCGAAATTGCTAAAGATGAATATTTCTTAAAGGAGAGTGTTCTAAAAACGAAATTATAAAATAACTGATCTACGTTCTGTTTGCTTTAGGAGTGGCTACTCGAGAAATTAACGTAATTTAATAGATTTTTACACAGGTCGTATTAATGAAAGGGATTTCGTATTTGTATTTTATAAAAAGTCATTTAATTTATAATTTTTTATATTTTACACAATAAAAAATATATCATTGTATTTGTCATATTATAATTATAGTATTTCCTTCGTGTTGAAAAATTACTTCTATTGTACTTTTTCAAAAAAATAAACAAAATAAAATAAAGTTAACGCTTACAATCGTATAGGATAATGTTGTTCGAATATAGCACGCAACACTTGGGCGATCTGTCAAGGAAGTGCTTCCGCGAGGTGGGAAATTGGTCCTTCTCGCGGAAGTCTAAGTGTTATACACCTGAAAATGCCTGGAAAACTCTAACTACTACTGTTAAGTCGTTTGTTTACTCTGTCACAAGATGCAACGTCTATTGTATTACTCCTTTCCTGCCATTCTGACCTTGCGACGTATCGCTAGATGTTTTTGAAAAAATACTTTAGAATAATTCAGAACAAAAAGACTGCCACAAGAATATTGTATTATTTAAAATCAGTCGGCAGCATCACTTGACCAATATATCAAAATTTAGTATATTAATAAAAAGGTAAAGTCAAAGCAAAATTCACCAACAGCCTAGATCAGCGGTCGGCAACCTCTGGTCCGTGGACCATTGAAGGTCCGCCAGAAAATTTGGGTGTTCCGTGGAAAAATTTGGACATTGATCAACTGAAAGTTACGCGAAGTATTACGAAAGAAATGCAAAATGCTTAATTGCTTTCTTCTCTCATTGGGGTTTTTTATTCGAATCTAAATCCAAATACGAAATGACTGTTATCAATAAATAATGAATAATAAACAATATTGTGAGTGCGGTTGTCTTCCTTTGTGGAAAGCGCTAAAAATTCATAAATTTATTTCAACCAAGCAGTAATGAACTGTAGTCTTGCATTAATTTGTTATAATTAAACAAGCGAGTTTCATATTAATATAGTAAAATTGTACTTTTATGATTATTATTCTCCAGATTTTGTATCGTTTAAAAAAGTTAATGATAGTGGTCCGCGGGATTCAAAATTGTGAGTCTAGTGGTCCGTGAGGTCATAAAGGTTGACGACCGCTGGCCTAGATGACTTGACAGCGCTCCTCCATAATCAAACAATTTTATAGAATACATTGTTATTAGTGAACTTAATTGGATCAAACATGGCGATAGAGATTGGGCTCGTTGACTGGTAAAATACTTTTAATACAAACGGAAAAGTGTAAAGCGAAATTTATGAATCTATATTCATCGTCATCATATAATGTAATTACTGCAAATTGCAAACGTTTCATATTCGAATATTTAGATAGAGACTTGTTTCATTCTTTGTCCCAAAATGGCATGACCTCCTATGACGCACGAGATTGAAAAGAGATGGAATTCAGACCATGCGTGAAGTTTTGTTGTTCCTCCAATGAAAAAGTCCTTATTTCTGGGCTGATAGATCTATTTTGCCCCACTGCAAAGCAATTTATAACCTTCGTCAGTTTTGCTTTCGTCAGTAATCATCGAATGAGGACTAGGCACTTTGCCACAATCAATTGTAATTGAAATGTGGAAATTTCAGAGGAATTTCAACAGTTGTGAGAAAAATGACTGTACAAATAATTCTCCATGAATCAAACTACGAGTACTAAAAAAGACAAACATGGTTTTGAGACTTGGTTTTGTGAACGTTAACTTTAATGATCATAGTTTACGTGGGACAATTCAATTACGTGGGACACCGTGTTTCGTCACTTCTAACAATTTTCCTGATATAGACGTACAGCCTGTTATGCCGACGACTACTTCGGAAGCTCCCATGTATCTGATTTTGCTCAGATAAAGCAAAAACCTCGAACATAATTTTCGTTTTTGTAACTTTTCCGAAAGAACGGTGTGTGCATCTTTACCGAAAGTTCAGATCTTTTGCTATAATTCGGCATGTCATACGACGATCTCTAACCAGAAAAAAGTAACGTTCTGTTTTCATGAATCCATCAAAAACATTCAAACAACCGTGTATAACCTGGCATCTTGTATTGGTAGGCATGTTTCAAATGCTGCAAGGTTTCTTTTGAAGTTTACCTAAATTTAAAATAAAACATAATGGTTTCACATTAATCCATTACAAGAATTTTGAGAGAGAAAAATGGCATTAGCGCTTTACTCCGAGACTGCTAAACTCAGTACTTTTATTGCGAGACGAAAACTTTCATACACTGAACATGCGTATAAAATAATAAGAAATAAATGAATATATATTCAATTTTTAACTTTGATATTTCTTTTGTCCAAAACGAAAATCAATATGATTACTGTTCTATTTTTAATAACCGATTAACCCACTTATTACAAAATATTAATATATTATAGATAACTTTGCAGTTTATCGTTAGCGAGAAAAACTTGTACTAGATATAATATTTTATTAAATTTAACAATTCAATATCAATGATTAATTGTTATTTAAATTTATAGTGTATAAGCAATTAAATTACGTAACTATACAGCCAATAAATAATTAATTTCTAATTACTTTTATGTCTTATATTCGCCGTTATAAGAGCATTTTAAACATTTCGGAAGACAAATAATATTATGCTTTTTTATAATTAAGTAATTAATATACATTCGTGAAAAATATGTCATCAGAACAGAAGATAACGGCAAATATATTATATTTTTTGCGATAAGATAAATAACTGAATTTAAAATAGCGTTTTTATTGATTTCAGCAATCATTTGAATAAAACTTTCACACTCGATAAATGATATAAAGCACGAAAACACTTTTTATTTGGAATGATGACATCGTTCAGCGATGAAACTGTGGATAAAAGTACATCAATATTTTGGTATTTTCAATCCATTTATATTTTTATTTAACCTGAACTTTTTTGTAGCTACTCCGTTACTTTCTTCTCAAAGAATTTCTTCAGTTCGAGTAAGTATAAAACAAAATAGAAGTTTTTACC